TTGAGGCCATAAAAAGCCTTCTGAAGCTTGCACATATGATGAGGAGATGAAGAGCTAACAAAACCAGGTGGTTGACTCATATATACTTCCTCATCCAAAGTGCCATGTAGGAAAGCATTGCTGATGTCAAGTTACTTCAATGGCCAATGATAATGTAAAGCCATACAAAGTAAAACCCTCATAGTGGGATGTTTAGCCACAGGGCTAAATGTCTCAGTATAATCAATGCCTTCTTGTTGTAAAAACCCCTTAGTAACCAATCGAGCTTTATATCTGGCAATAGAGCCATCACTGTTTCGTTTGATTCAAAAAACCAACTTACAACCAATAGCCTTCTTAGTAGAAGGAAGAGGGACAAGAGACCAAGTGCCCTGAGCAAGTAAGGCATTATATTCTTCAAGCATAGTAGAATGCCAAAGGGGAGAAATAAGAGCTTGTTGATGAGAAGAAGGCTCAATATCTGTAAAGGATGGAGTAGTACAAGCTACAAGACCCTTAGTTTTAGATCTAGTGAGAATGAGATGAAAATTAGTAGAAGAAGTAGAAGGTAGAACATGTGGGGCCGAAGAAGGGAGAAAAGGTAAATGAATAAAAAGAGAGTCAATAGGAATAGAGTGAGAAGGAGAAGAGATGGTAGATGTCTGATCAATAGGTGAAATAAGTAGAGAAGGTAAAATCTGAGAAGCTACAATAGGCTGAGATGGAGGCCTAGATAGAGGAAACGTAGAAAGGCAAACAGAAGAACAGTTCTGCGGAACTGTAGAGGGAACAACAGAAGATCTGGCAGGAGAACAGACCTGAAGAGCTGCAGAGGAAGAAAACAGAGGTGCTACTGGTGGACAAAGCTGAGCAGCAGCTACAACAGACTGAAATGAAGGCTGAGCAGTAATAGGTGTAGGCCAAAAGAAAAAGTGAAGATGAGATAAAGACTGAGCAGGAGTAGACGAATGAGTGGAAAAAGGAAAAATATTTTCATGAAACTCTACATGTCTAGAAATATAGACTTGACTTGTGGTCATGTCCATACATCTATAGCCTTTATAAGAGGAGTGATAGCCAAGAAAAACACATAAAGAGGACCGAGGCTGCAATTTAGAACGAGTATAAGGTCTTAACCAAGGAAAGCATTGGTAGCCAAAGACCTTCAAAAAGAAGTAATCAGGTAAGACATGATAGAGAAACTCAAAAGGAGATTTGTGAGACCATTTGGCACTAGGCATTCTATTAATGAGATGAATGGCAGTAGCAATTGCATCAAACCAGAATTTAGTGGGAACAGAAGAATAGTGAAGCAAAGCAATAGTAGTTTCAACAATGTGTCTATGTTTACGTTTAGAGACACCATTTTGTGGTGGGGTGTAAGGGCAAGAAAGTTGATGCACTATGCCTCAAGCCTTTAAGAATTTAGTCATGGAAGAGTTCACAAATTCAGTGCCACCATCAGTCCTTAACACTTGAAGTTTAGTAGAAAATTAAGTCTCAACATATGCTTTAAACTCTAAGAATTTTGAGAAAACTTCACTTTTGTAACGTAGAGGATAAAGCCAAGTAAATTGACTATAATCATCAATGAAAAGCACATGATACTTGTATTCAGATGAAATAAAATGAAAAAGCCCCCATACGTCACTATGAATGAGAGAGAAAGGGTTATTCACAGTAGAATTTGACAGTTTAAAGGGAAGTCTATGACTCTTAGCCATACTACAATGTGTACAAGGATGAAGAGCAGACTTTGTTTTATTGAAAGTAAAAGACAAATGCTTCTTTAAAGCAGTAAACTTCAACTGAGATGGGTGGCCCAATCGTTTGTGCCAAGTATGTTCAGAAGCACATGCAGAGGTCTTTGTCAAGAAAGCAGTAGATGAGGTAGAAGAAGCATGCATAGCAATAGAATGATGAGAAGAAGACAACAGAGATGGAAAGTGATGCAGGCCATTAACATTATAGCCATTGTGTAAAATGGCCTTGGTGTTCTTATCCTGAACCACAAAGGAAGAAACATCAAAAGTAATAATACAATTATTATCTTTAGTGAGTTGATGAACAGAGAGAATATTGGAAGGGATAGGAGCATGGAGGAGTTTATTGAGTTTAAAAGAAAAATGAGGATTAGGAAGGAGACCTTTACCTGTTTGGTGAATAAGAATAGAAGTGCCATTGCCAACTGTGATCTGATCAGGACTAGTATAGGACTGAGACATGTTGAGATTGGAGAGATCATGAGTAATATGATCAGAGGCAGCCGAATCAAGATGCTAGAGAGCAGCCTCAGATAAAGAAGGAGGAGGAGCAGAAGCAGCAGAAGCAACATAAGCTCTTGGTGGAGGATAAGCAGAAGAGAGTTTAGAAGAAGACTGAGATGAAGAATGTTGGGAAGAAGCATTTGGATGCATAGTCTGATGAAAATTCGCATCCAGTCTGTGCCAACAATCAAGAGCCATATGGTTACCTTTGCCATAGATTTGACAAATTATAGCAGGTGAATAGATTCTTCCTCTACCTCGAGAGTTCTGTCGTCCATTACCACGAAAAGAGCCTTGAAATCCTCATCTTTGGCTTCGAAAAGAGGATCGTCCTCTTGTTGAAGAAGAAGATCCACTAATGGAATCTCTCAGTGATACATAGGCAACTGTGTTTTCGTGTGATTGCATTTTTCTCTATTTGGAGTCTATATGTAGAGACTCAAAACACAGAAGAGAAGTTAAGTCAACCATGGAAATATGTTCAATCCGAGCACGAACAGTAGTTTTAAAAGCATCAAACTCATCTGGCAAGCCATTCAGAGTAAGCAGTACCAAATCTTCATTATCTATAGGTGATAAAGCAAAAGCTAATTGATCAGCAAGCTCTTTGATTTGAGTCAAATATTCTTCAATTGATTTGGAACCTTTGGTTAAATGAGTATTCCTGATTTGATGGATGTGAGAACGAGAAACCATGGTGAAACGTTTGCAAAGAGCAGTCCATACCTCGAAGCTATGTTGCAGATGAAGAATAGAAGAAAAAATTGTAAGTGTAAGAGTAGCAGTTATACAACTAAGCAGATGAGCATCAATCTTGTTCCAAGTTGCTCGATCTGGATTCAAAGCCTCGAGGCCATTGGAGTCAGTGATCATCAATGGAGGACATGGAACTGATCCAATTGCAAACTCTAACAGATCAGTAGCTCATAAAATATTCTGAAATTGACTTCGCCATATAAGGAAATTGGTGGAATCGAGTTTAACTGTGATGAAAGAATTCAGATTGGAAATCAAGAGATTAAGATTTGCAGGTAAAGAAGAAGAAGATGATAAAGCAGCCATATGTGGATCGTTACTATGCTCGTAGGAGCTTTATTGAAGCTCTGATACCATGATGAACAATTGAATCTTTCATTGTTATTATTTTATGATCAGATATAGTGTATATTTATACAGATGATGTAACAACCTCCTAACAAACTATAACAAACTCTAACTACTAACTAAGTTTGAGTTTAACAAATTCTAACTACTAACTAAGCTTGAGTTTAACAAACTCTAACTACTAACTAATCTGGAGTTAACAAACTCTAACTACTAACTAACTATCTTGAGCTGAAACAGAGTTAGCTACTGGTGTAGCTGCTGAACTTGAGACTGAGTTACTGAGTTAGCTATTGATGGTGAAGTAGTCTCATCACATATGAATAGACTTTTCACCAATTAACGCTAGAAAGATGTTTTACCTCTTGTCATAGTGACGAAGAAGAAGAAAGTATAAAGAACTAAATGAGAGAAATTGCACATAAATGAGTAGTAGTTTGAATGGAGAGAAAATATATAAGGGATATTATCCACAAAATAAACATTTAAAAGAAAATTTATAGAATTTTATTGATGATAATAAAATGAAAAAACTATAAAATAAGGGGCATATAAGAAATTTTAAATGGAGCAAATTGAAAATTCTCATGATAACCATAGGGTTATTCCATTTTGTTGTGTTCATATAAAAAAGGAGGTGTTTGGGAACCTAGATGTGGGGCTAAAATAGTCTCAAAAACAATTTTAGCCTAAAAGCTTCTAAACTAAAAGTTTTTTTTTAAAAAAGAAAAGAAAATAGGCCGGCAGTGACTGTCACGCGACAGTCCTACCACTGTCAAAGTGGCAGGTAGCTAAATTACAATTTTACTCCTTCAAATTAATTTTGAAAAATGTGAAGTTAGGGACAAATTTGTCATTTTAACTTCAAACATTATTTCAACACATTTTTCAATACACCAACTCAAATAAAAATCCATCCTATCTTCCCAAACACAAAAACTAAAATAGCCTACTAAAATAGCCAAAAAGCTAAAATGCCTCTAAAATAACCACTTTCCAAACACCTACAAAATATTATAACTAAATTACTTTTGGTCATAACTAAAAGATTACAATGGATCATAATTAAACATCACTTAAAGTACAACTAAAATTTTTTTTGGTCATAACTAAAATAATAATCATAATAGGTCAATCAAGTCATAAATAAATATTATAATCAAATATCACGTGGACATAACCAAAAATCTCTTCAATCATAACAACCACATGGATTCATAAATAAGTCATAATCGAAGTTGGCAATGATCAAAAAAAAAAAAAAAAAGTTGGCAATGATCATAACTGAGACATGTTAATTCCATAATGATATTCTTTAAAACTTAGTGATAGAATCTCCCTTCGTCACACTATGTGGCGCTATACCTAACATAACTACAATAATAGTTGGTAATTAATAGTAATACAAGAAAAATTTATAATTTTATTGTGTTTTATTTTTATTGTAGGCGTTTGTACCAAATCCTTTCCCCCAAGGAAATGCATGTGGTTATCGAGATGCGCTGGGTTAGCATAGGGGAGATATCTAAAGCACCGAACTAGCTTTTGGAAAAAAAAATTATACTTTGTCAAAAAAGCACACCTTGACAACCAAGGCAAGTATAGATTTCCTTGATGTTATATAGTTAGTTTCTAACATTTAATGTGAGACACAGTCTTTTGGTGTGCTAGCTGCAATTTTTTCTAAGCAAGTTCACTCTTTCATTTCATAAATAAACAGAATGGCATCGTCTTTGCGGCTTCCTTCCTTTCTCTTCGTGTTTCTTCATGTTATTTTATTTTGGTCTGAATCAGTTCATTGTGATGGTAATCTCTCTTTCATTTGGGTTTTTCTTTTTTCTTTCTATTTTTTGTTTTTTGTTTTTGTTTTTTATGATGTTTGATGATGTTAGACGTTAGTTTGATGAGGTTTCCTCATTGGTATCATATATGAATTATAAAAATTTTGATAAATTACAGGTTCTGAAGACACTTTGCTTGAAGGTATCAATAATCACAGACAATACTTAAAGTTGTCGGCCCTCACAAGGACTGATAACACACAATGCCTTGCCGAGCAAATAGTTTCCCAGATAGACGACGATCCTTGCAACACCACCACCACCATCCCCACCCACCCCATCACCATCGCCACCGTGGGCTCCTCCTCCTCCCACCCTCAACTATCTACCAACTTTCCCCGTCTTTTGAAAGATTGTAATATAAACATTAACTCGACAAGCAATGGGTTGATATTGCCTATTTGTGTTGCCAAGTTTGTTGCCACTGGTCTAGTTTGCGCAAGATGTCCGCAGTCACAGTACGCACAATACCTCCGTAGTTCCAATTACACTGAAGTTGGCATAAGTGCAGGAGTCAGCTGGACAGCCATTGTTTTGAACGTAAACACAACCACTGAAAAAAGTGCTGCTAATTTGGTTTCTAACGCGAGCTTGAGTCATTGCTTCTTGTTGTTGTTGTTAGTGTTGTTTCTTTTATACTAATTATGTATGGAGTCTAAGGTTTCTATGGTGCATGGAATAATGTTTGGGTTGTGTAAAATGTGACTTAAGAAGAGTAGTGTCAGCTTGGAGGAAATGCTTCATAGCAGATCAGATTGGAGGTCTGCTATGTGGAAAATGTTTCATTTTTTTATTTTTTATTTTTTTCTGATGGCCACTGCTGGTTCTGGATTTTTTCTTATGCTTGAAAGGATTTTGGTTTGTTTAGTGTCTATTGTTTTTGGGTGCTTGGCTTCTGTTTTTGGTTTCTCTTTTCTTTTCGTGCTTTCACTTGGTCCCTCACTAACATTTTTAGTGTAACAGAAGATTTGTCTTTTATTTTATTTTATGCTTTTTCACACTCGTCTTTCTTTATTGATACTTATATTTGTATTTTATGTACAATTGATTTCATCAATAAAACATCTTTTTTGCTTATAAAAAGAAGGGTAGCATCAGCAATAACTATTTCAGCTAAGACCGAGGCTTTGGAAATAAATTTTAGGAAAAATTACAAATTAGTGTAAGTTTTAAAAAATGATTTCAAATGAGTGGCAAATTGATCAATTTTAATAATTAAAATATAAACATTTTCATAAATTTATAAATATTTTGTGAAGGTTCTACTGATTTGCTATTTTCACTAAATTTTATCTCAGAGTACACAAAAAGTTCTTAATTAATTCATTATATTCTAAGCAAAGTCAAATCTCAAAGATGTTATTTCATTGTATTTGTCTCTAAAATAATCCATTTTTAATACAAATAGGATAAAATCATAAGACTACGATTATCAATTGATATATTTTTTTTCTTCAATGATCTATAAATTGGAGTTAAGAAGATAAACATATTAAATGACTAAAATAGAACCTATAGTGGGCCTGACAGGCCTAGACAATAATATTATTGGAGAGAATACAGACCTGAATCAGCAAAACTCTCTCTAGTCCACTCGACTAAAACAGACTAGATAGTGAAGTCGGTCATGAAGGGTTCACCATGGTTTCACTTCAATGTTTGATTAAATTACTAATCTATGAGGAGTGAGGAGTGTACAAACTTCTGTTGACTACATATGCGAAATTACTGTAATATTCTCAGGCATTTTCTGTTATTTTCTTCCATCTCTTTCATACACATAATTTATAATTCCTAACATTATTTCAAATAAATCAGAATTAATTGTAGATCCTTTATTATTTATTGCAATTCCTAACAACTTAATCTAATGTTAATTTAATTATATTTTAGATCAATTTTTAATTATATTTTATATTTTAGATCAATCCTTAATTATAACTTTATTTTAATTAATATCTTAATTTGATTTTAGGTTTGGAGAAGATGAGAATATAATTATATTTTTGTTGTGTTAATTTCACTTTATTTAAAAATAAAAAAAAAAATCTAGCTCATGTGATACAGCTTCCATTAGTTTAGAAGGAAAAACTAACGATAACACTTTAATCCAAAATTACATGGGATATTTTTTTTGGCTATATTGAACCATGAGGGGATAAATTGACGAGCGATTGAAAAACGGTTGTCAAAATCTTCATTTTAAATCAAATTTTGATGAATTTTGTATCATCGAAAAACTCTTTGAAAATTCTATAGAAAAGTTGGACAATTTTAAAAATCACTAAAAAATTCACATAAAATTCATAAGAAATCAATCAGTATACAAACATGGAAGTTATAATTTCTTTTCCAAAAGTTTCAATTTTACTCTCGGTTTGGATCAATTTGGTTTCACTCTTGGTTTCGTTTGATCCAGAGCAGGCGGACACAGATATGTTCCATCAGATATGCTCTTTGGTGGCAAACAAGGAGGGGAAGAGAGGTAGATCTGCGTAGCGAGTCTGCAGGTCAGATCTGTGCCATGTGAACTTCGATTTTCGGCGACGAATCTTGCAAGGTGAGGTATCATCCTTGTGAACTCAGGTTATATTACCTTCGATGTCTCTACTTGTGTTTGGACTTGTTTGTGTCAATATTAGGGTTGGTCTTGTTCTTGGTTTATGATTTGGAGAAGTCAAGAACAGAGAGATATATAGAGCAACTTCAGCTATGGGATAGAGGAAAGAGTAGTGTCCTACGGGATGGAAAAAAGATTCCTAGAGGGTAGAGTTAGTAGAAGCTGGAACCCAGTTCTGAGAAGGAAAGAGGGTAGCAATATTGGTGTCCAAAATGATGGATTATTCACTATTTTTGTGGATAACATTCTTGAATCAATGGGTCCAAAGAGCTTGTACATCCTGTTCAATAAATTTGGGGCAGTGAAGGATGCGTTCATCCCAGGGAAGAGAAAGATAGTAACATGTACAAGATTCGGCTTCATCAGATTCGATTGCTCGGTAGTAAAAAAATTGGCTATTCAAAAAGCAATTGGTTTGTGGGTTGAGGATAAGGAGCTAAAAGTTAAAAATGCAGTATTCACCAAGCCTCAATTAAAGTAGCACAGGCCGGAATCAAGTAAACCTTTGAAGATAGATTTACAAAGGCAATCTAAGCAAGATATAACAGTGGTTGGAGGTTAGAAATCTTATGCTGAAGCAATAAAAAGTGGAGCTACTTATAGAAAGGATTATTTAGTGGCTAAAGCTTTTGAGTTAGATAATGAATGGCTCTCTATGAGTTTGATAGTGAAGCTCAAAAACTACTTCTCTTTTCCAGCATTTAGAGACGAATTATGCAAGAAAGGTTTGAGTGAGATATTGGTCAGAAGAGGGGGTGGTAGGAGTGCAGTCTTAACATTCAACTCATCACAAGCTATGAAAGAGGGGTATGACCAACTGAAGGGGTACATCTATGATTGGTATGTTTCAGTAATAGAATGGAGAAAATGGGTAAATCTCGATCATGAGAGATGTGTTTGGCTGTGCTGTTATGGATTTCCATTTAACTTATGAAATGCTAACACATTCAAAAGTATTGGTAGCTTATGGGGTGAGATAATCCAATTTGTTGAAGTGAACAATACAAATTCTCTTGAGTATGGCAAGGTCAGATTGATAAGAAATAGCATGAAGCTTAAAAATATGGTGATAAGTTTGGAGTACAAAGGAAACATATACACTGTTAGGATATGTGAAACCTTTGATTTTCATGAAGATTTACCACTCAAATTTAGTGCAGGGAAAGATCAAATCTTTGTCAATGGGGAACAAAGAGTTTGGAGACAAAAAAATGGTGCTTTCTTCAAATTCAAACAAATCAAATGAGTCATCATCAATTAGTAATCAGTGTGTGAAGGGAAATGGCTTTTATGAAAGATCTGTGCTAAACTTGGTGCAAATGAAACCTAATTTAAGGAGTGTGCTTGGCCTACAACATCAATATGAGCGTTTTAATTCATTATTTTGGAGGCCCAAATCCACCGCTGTAGATCTTGGAGTTTCTATTGGAAAAAATAAGATTGTACAAGTATCCTATGAGCCAAGTTCACTTTTCTCTCTTGGGCTAAAAGGAGTAGTGGAAAGGGTTGACATTGTTGAAAAATCTTCTATTCCAATAGTGAGTAGCAATTCGATCAAGATTGAGGAATCTTCTAAGAGGCATGAGGATAGAGGTGTTCATAAGGCCTCATATCCCAACAATGCGAGTCATAAGAATAGAGAAAGGAAAAAAAAGTTACTGAAAGTATCAATGATACTTCCAAAATTCAAGAGATGGGGTATTGGTATGAGGTGATTGTTTGTTATGAGGGTCCAAATTGGAAGGGTGTTTTGTTTGGTATGAGGTGTAGATGGATGGACTGTTAAGATCGGTGTTTTGAGGGTTGGAGGTGGTTATTATTTCCTTTGCTTTTTGTTTTGTTCAGTTGGTTTCTCTCCAGCCGTGGTGTAGTGCTAGTAGATGATTGGCTTGCTTTCTGGTCTCAACCTAGTTGGAATCGTCTAGTTTGCTTTGATACTTTGGCACTCACCTCCCTTTATTGATGTTTATCTTTGTATTATGTGCATTTGATTTTCATCAATAAATTTTCTTTTGTTGATCAAAAAATACAAACATGGAAGTTTTAAAATTGTAGCAGTTCGTTGATTTAAGAATGTTATTTGATTCTTTAGAGCCCAATTAAAAAACAAATTTTGAACATATTTGATGCAAATTTTGAAGTCAGGGAGACAAGAGAATAATTCCACAACTTGGATGAAAATCTATTTTGAATTGCTAATCTGTCTCAAGCCAAAATCTCAAGATTTAGAGAAATCTAATCGCCATTAGTGGCATAACTAGAAAATATATTTTTATTTTTTACAATTGATATGTAGGGATAGGGTAAAACTTAATTGTAAGACTCTAACTCAAATATCACATTTAGTAAAAGAGCACCACAACCACCGTGCTTCAACTTTGGTATTCATAAAATAGATTTAAGAGGATAAAAAATAATAACTTGAAATAGGAGTGGATAGAAAGATTCATCACCACTAGTTGCATTGGTTTTTTTTTTTTTGTTTTGGGTCAAAGATAGCGTTAGTATGTTAGTATAGTTAGATTATAACAGAAGGGTTTGTCGTTGTTCCATCAAACTCCTAATCTTCCACTCACCACACCCTAAGGTGCGGCTACTAGATCATTGGTTCACACCTCAACGTCTCACCTCTAGTTGCATTGGTTGAGAAGAAGAGAGAGTAAAGAAATAAATGAATGAGAGAGAGAGTACATAGAAACAAGGGGTAATTTGAATGGTGAGAAAATATAAGGGTTGGATTTCATTTTGTTGGTCCTCAATGTATATTGTTCATGGAAAAAATTAGTTTAATTTAATAATTGTAATTTTTTCATTTTATTACATTTGTTTATGAAAAAATGGACGACAAATATATATTTGAAATAAACTATTTATTTTTTTAGAGATAAATATAATAAAATGAAAAGATTATGATTATCGGATTAACCTAAATTTTTTCATGAATGATATACATTGGGAGCCCTATAAAATCAATGGTTCGGATCATCGAAATGGGAAATGTGGTGGGTTCCATAGGCCTCTCAAGTTCTCTCACGTTGAGATTTCAACATGAGAGAAACTTAACCCAAAATACAACATGGATTTGGCCCATTTTAAAACCGATTTTGGTGATCCGAACAGCTCATTGTTTTGGAATCGTTAAGTAAAATATTCATGAAAAAATAAAGATGATTGGATATCGGTAGTTATATATTTGAATCATATTTGTTTTAAAAAAAAAGATGACAAATATAATTTTAAGAATAACAATTTATTTTTTGTAATATAAATTTGATTCAAACATACATCTAAATATCTTCGATCGTCTTAATTTTTTGCATAAATATTCTACTCAACATTTCTACAATCTAAACAATTTTAAATCATCAAAGCGAGACCTATGATTGGCTTTACCGGCCTCTCAAGTTCTCTAATGTTGATATATAAATATGAGAGAAACTTAACCAATATAATAAAGAGAATTTTTTCCACAAAACACATTTGAAGATACAAATTGTAGAATTTTATTGAAGAGAAAAAAAGGAAAGGAAAGGACTATAAAACAAACAAGGGGCATAAATGAAATTTCAAATAGGACAAATTGAAAATCTTTTATGTGTTATGTTAGCGTAAGGGAAAAGGGATACCTAAAAGAACCTATCAAGATTTTGAAAGAGAAGTATATAGTGGAAGTGTCATTTGGTTTGCTTGCTTCATTATAAAAGCACACCTTCACAACCAAGGTAAGTACTGGATACTTCATGCTTATATATATATATTTAATGCCAAACATTTAAATGCTATTTTTTTAATAAACTCTTTGGCTTTGGTTCACAAATAAATAAACACAATGGCCTTTCCCCACCTTCCTCTCCTCCTGTTGGTGTTTCTTCATGTTTTTTTAATTCGATCTAAACCAGTCAAGTGTGATGGTACTCTCTCTCATCTGCCTTTTCCTTTTTCTTCATGTTTTTCATTTGTTAAGGACTCATGTGATTGTACTCTATATAATATGATGACTATTATAATTAGGACAAATTTCACTTTTACCTCTTATGAATTGGATCATGTGTGATTTATTCTTTTAAGGTTTTTAAATTATCACATAACTCTCTTATAGTTTATTGACTAAAGTGTACCGTTAAATTAATTAACGATTTAATAAAAAAATACTAAAATTATCCTTGTATTTTCATCATTTGTTTGGAAGGAAAAATACATTTTAACTCCCTGTGCTTTGTTCTATGTGCCATTTAACCGATTTAATTTGTCATATGTTTCACACTTATTGTTAAGTTTGATGGAATGTTTAATGGTGCATTTCAAAATACAAATCACGTGGAGATTATGTGATCATTTTTAAATGTTAGAGAGTAAACTGCATATGACCCAAATCACAGAAAATAAAGTAAAGTTTGTCTTTATAATTATAAATAAAAGATTGTATTTTCTTTTTAAGTGAAAGTGGAATGTTTTAACAGTCATTGAGAAGGGAATTTTTGTTTTCTCATTTAAGGTGGTAATCCCTATCTTGATTACAAGAATTAAGGGTATAAACCGTTCGGTTTAGTTGGAATTGGGGGAATGTTTAGTAACGAATCGAACTTTTTGATTTTATTGATTGAGGAACTAAAACAAATCACATGTTGCAGTATTGATTTTGTTCTCTTGTCTGTTTGGTATAGATGAGGGATTAGCACAAAATCTTTAATGGGTTTCATAAAAATTTGTAAAATTTTATATAGGGAATAAGTGATGAAAATGGGTAAAAGTTGCTCTATAAATACTTTTTTTTTTCCGTGCTGTTTATGACAAAATATGTATTATTGATCACTTATCTTCTAATGTCAAAATTTAAACAGACAATATGTTACGAAAAAATGGATTGAAAACCAAAATTTCGATCGATCTTAAGCGGTTAGTTTGATTCCATCAAAAAAAATTTTTACATTATATTAGACATGGAAGAAAAAAAAAAGTTTTAAATAAAATATTATAATGTAAAAAATTAATATATTATTTAAATATTTAAAAAAAAAATGCAGTTTGAGATTTTACACAAAACTTTCAAGAACATTGGGAGAACTGACTCCTGTATGAGACTACATGAAAGGATTAAGGTTATTATTTATTAGGTTTGGTCCCATGTTTCTGAATAATTTTTTCAAAACGTTATTTGAAAACTCTATTTTGAAAAAGAATTTTTGTTTGGTTTTTAAAAAAAATGCGTCATTGCAATTTCAAGTTTACCTCCAATTTAAGGAGACATAATTTTGAAAAAAAAATGTCACATCAAAAAATACTTTCATCTTAGTTATATATATATATATATATATATGTACATGCTATATATGTATGAAAATATAATTTGGTATGCAACCATTTATGGGTCGATGGTGCTACATGCACCAATTAGTGTACTAACTAATGTACCAATATTAGCTATAACATTATTATTGACCTCACTCATTAATCACATTACAAATACCAAAAACCTCTTAAATTATGCAACATCATCAATTGGTACACTAGTTAGTACATTAATTGGTACATATAACATTATTCTTTATGGGTATATATCCTATCATTAACTGTGTGACTTTATTATAAAATTTTCACTAATTTCAACCACAGAAAAGTTATTTAGTTTTTCTAAATTGGCATTAAAAAATTTCTTAGTGGAATTAAATTTTCACAAATGTTATGCAGAAAATTTATTTTATCACACAATATCATAACATTAACACAAACATGTGTAACATCATTTGAAATTAGCATAACAAAATGTCCAAATTTTTTGTACTTGTTGCAAAAGTTTGTAAGTTAGTTACGATTTTTTTTAATTTTAATTTGTAAAAAAAAAAAATTATGTTTTCTATGGTTGAAATTAGTGCAAATTTTATAATAAAGTCACATATTTAATGGTAGGATATGTATTTATAAATGGCTACATACCGAATTATATTTTCATACATATATAATATGCACATATATATATATATATATAACACTAAGATGAGAGTGTTTTTTGATGTGAAAATTTTTTTTCTTCAAAATTGTCTCTCCTTAAATTGGAGGGAAATTTCAATTTGCAACAATATATTTTTGAAAAGTGTGTTTAGTCTTTTGAATAATGGAACAAGTATTCTAAAATTTTTAAAAAACTGAATTTGAAAATTAACAACCAAACAAAGTGATTATTATTATTATTTTTAATCAAAATGGCAATTGTATGGCTTTCAAACTATAAGATTCTAGTACCCAAGTCCAGACCCAAAAAAAAAAACACTTAAATGTTAGTTTGATGATGCTTCATATTTGGTATTGGTATGAGCTGTCTTATATTTTCTGTACACTCAAAATATTGTTAGAGGCCTTTTACGCAGGCGGAAGACCAAGGTATTGTTAATTTCTGGTAAAGTTCTGATAGTGTAACAGAAAAGATAATTGCGGAGTTGTTCTTGTAATTTTTATTGCATATAGTGGATTTCAACTGTTTCTCTACTATGGATGTAGCTATCTCGCCAAACCATGTATATCTTATGTTATTGTATGTGTGCTTCTTCACTTGTATTTGTTTATTATGTTATTGAAATTACGTTCTTATATAACATGTAGCATTTATAAATATCTTAATATTTCAATATTTTACGCTAAATTACAGGTATGGAAGATATTTTGTTGGAAGATATCAATTGTCTCAGGCAATCCTTAAACTTGCAGGACCTCACGCAGAATGATGAAGCAACATGCCTTGCCGAGAAAATAGTTGACAAGATAGACAAACAGCCATGCGATAACACCACCACCTGCACCACCAACCCCATCACCATCCCCACCGCGGACTCCTCTTGCTACCCTAAACTAGCTAAAAAGTTTCCTCGTCTTTTAAAAGAGTGCAATATAAACAATAGCACGGTGAGAGATGGGGTCATATTGCCTTTATGTGTTGTTGAGATTGTTACCACTGGCCTAGTCTGCACAAACTGCACGAAATCACAATACTCAAAGTACCTCAGTAATTCCAATTACACTGGAGCTGGCATAAACTCAGGAGATAGTTGGACGGTCATTGTTTTGAGCACCAACACAACCACTGGAAGCTTTGTTAGTGCTGATTATTTGGTTTCTAACATTGGCTTGAGTCACTACTTTTTGTTATTATTGTTGGAATTGTTTCTCTTGAGCTAATTATATACAAGTGTACGGTTGTCTATATGATCCATGAAATAATGTTGGGTTGTGTAAAATGTGACCTAAGAATAGTATCAACAAAAATAATTTCAACTGAGGCGATGGTTTTAAAAAAAGAAATTATGTTAAAGTACGCAGAAAAGTCTCAATTAATTTATCATATCCTAAGAAAAGTCAGATTAATTTAATAATGATACTAATATTATTTTATCGTATTTCTCTCAAAAAATAGACAATTATGTGTAATTTTTTAAAACAAATATAATAAAATCATGTAACTACTATTGTTGGATCAATACATTTTGTTTTCATTGGATGATCTATAACATAGGCCAGAAAGATGGACGGATTGAATCATCATAATTGAACTTGTGATGGGCCTTACGGGCCCAAGCACCATAATCATTGGAGAAAATCTAGACCCTATCAATTAAGGAGCAAGACCATCTTTCAGCACTACACTAAATGTGGACTAGATAGTCAAGTCTCTCATGTGAGGCTCACCACGAGCTTCACTTCAATGTTATACACTCATACAAAGAGTATGGAATAATTAGTCTGTAAACTAGGAGCATCTCAAAAGATCAAGAGGTTGATGTAGTGAATGAGGTAGTCCCTTACTTAGCATGATATATGAGTTTTGAGTCTTATTGTTGCTCTATGCAACTTCACATTCTCTATTAAATAGACTAGCATAAAGTGCAGAGGCAAAGGATTGCAGCAATAGAAGTTGGAAGTGGGTGGATGTGTTGGATTTTGATATAATGTGGTCCACAATGGTTATGCACATTGCACCCACAAGGGCAATGAAGAAAAATGGAATGCGTGGTGAATTTTGGAGAGTTTTAAGGATATTGGAGGGTGACCTTGATTGCTTTGATAATCACCATTGCTCTTGAATCCTTAATTGATAAAAATACATACATTTTTCTCTCTGTACATATGATATTATTTTGGTTAACATTTGAAAAATTACATAAGTGTATTCTCAATTACTTAGCGAACCCACGCCCGAATCGAACCGACCCATATGTGCCTCCTCCAACCCCGTCTTTACCCTGGAATTGTCTTATATAATGTTGAATCCACAACGCCGATGTCGAATCCACAATGGCGAGTCACTCTAGAATCTACCAAAGCTTATGGCCCAAATTATCTGAAATCTACCGAAGAACAACTCTCACTTTTGTATTGAACGAAACAAACAATCCTCTGATGTATACTTTTCAAACTATGAGTTAAACTCAAACAAATATCAAAGAAACTAGCAAAGAAGCTCCAAATGAAAACCCCAATACCTAAGAAGAAGATCTGAAAGTCGTAACTTTAAAAACAGATAAAACCACATATTTATAGAAAACTGATCCGCAATCTCTGCTCGAGTGCAAGAATGGTCGCTCGAGCAGACTGACGCTCGAGTGTAGAAAGTTCTGCTCGAGCGTAAAAACACAACTTCCAGTACTTTTGAAAACAGTTCAAACTTTTGGAACCAAAGATTTTCCGCTCAAGCGGACAAACAACTTTGACTGCAATTTTGTTTCTGGCTTTAGGGCCGCTGCCCCTCGACCCTGCTTGGGCGCTGTCCCGGACCTGCTATGAGGCGCTGCTCCCTGGACCCCTGCGAGCTGACCGGGTAGTTTGATCTCCGACATAATCAGCGAAGTGGCAAATATGTAAGAATTAACTTCTGAAACATCTCTAAAATGCATAATTCGGGTTGGATTCGCATCTAAAAACTCATAGCCGCACTTAAATAAAAAGATCAAATAAAACTACAAGTGAAAGGAGTTTTGTCAAGCGAGATTGCCAAGAATAAAAACCTAACAATATTCATTTTACTCTCTGGTGTTATGGTTTTCGAGCCTGTAGACACCCAATTTTTTACCGCCCTTAAGACGTGGGCACTATTGATGATTTACTTGATGGAGAAAGGTGTGCAGGGCAAATGTTCAGTTTCTTCGGCAATGAGAGAGTCAAATCTCAACTTCATACCTTTTTTTTTTTTTTTTTTTTCTTGATTTTTTTTTTTTTGGGCCAAAACAATCTTGATCAAAATATTTTAGACTTGAAACCCTCTCCTTCAAAACGTTTTGAAAATAAAGTTCTACGATATTCCGACACTTGCATTTTGTTAAATGTCGCGTTTTTCGGTAAACCGAGCAAGGGCAAAGTAGAAATGAACGAAAGAGAGATGAGATCTTTGAAAAATCTTTCAAAACACCTTGTTCGGGGGATTGGAGTTGAAGAAAAGAAGAGTGGAGAGAAGAAACCTAGTTGAGGAAGAGAATGGGCATGAATCGCTAAGAGAGAGTCGAGCGGTCCTCGCTAAATCAGGCTTATCTGTCTATACACTTAGATTTAAGCTATGAGGCCACCACCGTTGGAAAGGAGACTTCCGAGGCTTTATTTTTCACTCAAGAATCTCCTAAAGTCAAGTCCGGACGGGGGAGATATGGTTGGTTGAAGTAGGGCATCAATCTGGTTGGACCGAATCTACGCGGCTTCACCAAAACAGGCATAACTTTTTGCACAGATGGAATTTTAATGCAAGGTTTGTGCCATTGGAAAGCTAACTTCTGGGGCTTCAATTTGGACACCTGGCCGACCACCTTTCTTTCGACAGGCCCATTTTTTGTCCTGAAAAACAAGAAAAAGTAGCAGGCCGAGCATAAAAGGTGGTCGGCCGACCACTTATGCCCAGAAAGCCCAAAATTGATAGATATTCTCCTTTTAGCTATCTTCCACAACCTTTCTTTGAGAAGCTTTAGACCTTTTGTTCTATAAGAGAAACCATATCCCTCACTTGAAAGGGTTCAAAAAATTGCTAAGGCTAAACAATATATCTCTCTTTATATCTTTCTCTTTTGAGCTCTAAATTGCTTGGTTCTTGGCCCCTTTGCACCACCTCTCATAGCCTAACACTTCCATCATCAACCTAAGGTCCTTGGAGGGTATTTTTAGAGGTTCAAGGTTGGGTTTTTGGGTTCAGAGGCTGCTGGTTTCTGCTGGTCTTCAAGGGTAACCATTTTCTCTCTTTTTGAGCATTATTTTGATCCATCTTTTAGCTATACTTGCAAGCATTTTCGAAGTTTGATATAAACTGAAAAGAGTCTTATTTTGAGTCCCTCTTGAAGTTTGTTTAGGACATTTTTCTGTTAGAGGTCATCTACCCCCTTGTATGCTCCATCCCTCTTTTAAGGCTTATTTTACTTCACATCTTAGCCTTACTTGCAAGCATTTTCGAGCCTTGACATAAACTGAAAAAAAGTCTTATTTTGAGCTCCTCTTGAAGATTTTTTAAGGTCATTTTTATGTTGGGGGTCATCTACCCCCTTGCATGCTTGTTTGCATCTTATTTTGAGCCTTGCATCTAGGCCTTGGTTTTGTGCTTTGTTTGGCCTTCTAGCCACTGAAATTTTCAGTGGCTAGCATACTATTTTGAGAGCCAAAATCAGAGGGGGGTGACCCCCTCTCTCCTTGCCTTGTTTGTTGATCTTTTTGGCCTTACAAAGGAGCTCCACTTTGCATGTTTTGAAACCATGTTTCAGGCCCTATTTGGTGAGTTTTAAGGTTTGCATGAACTCTGTCTAGAGCCCATTTTGCCATATAAAGTGTCTATTATGCATGTGTAGAGCAATCCTATTCAAGGCCTTTCAAAGGGACTTTCACTTGCATGCTTCCTAGACTAATTTCAGGACCTTTTTGGTGAGTTTTAAGGTCCTCATAACCTCTGTCCAGTGGTGGTTTTTCCATTTTGTATGTCTATCTTATATGTATGGAACAACCCCTTGCATGGCCTTCTAAAGGAGCACATCATTCTTGCATGCATTGACTGAGTTTCAGTGGGTTTTTGGGCATTATTTGGCATGACATACTTCTATTTTTGGCTAGTTTGGTGAGTTCTCATGTGCTTCATATAGCTGTAGTGCAAATCATGGTTCACTAGCTTACTTCGTATGCTTTGTTGACTCTTGATTTTAGCTCTTTTTGGCCTTGCCTTAAACTGATTTTGTGCATATTTTGGACTGCCCTAGCTCTATTTTTGGGTCTCATGGTCAAATGATATTTGTTTTGCATGCTTGTAGTTCAATACACTTGCCTAGCTTTGAGTTTCGAGGTCCATTACATGTATATGCTAAGGCATTTTCTTGTTTTACAGCCATTATACATCATATTTCAGAGCTTATGTAAATGTCATGTTCCCATGTTTCATAATCTTTAAATGCATTTGAGAGTCGGGCTTGTATGTGTAGACGCGCCCTCAGGCCTCTCTACAGTTCGGACTCAATTGGTGTCACGGTCCTGTATCTAATCTCGCGGAGTGCAATGCAAGACCGATGAATCATCAAAGAGTCCAAATCCGGCAAATCATTTTTGAAAACAGATTTTTTTGAAAGAAGTGCCAAACATGGACTGCTTTGCCAGATACAGAGTCGCCACCTAAATATTTTATTTTGGGAAATTTAGGAAACCCTGACTCGGTCACTTCGTGAGCACCCCTGCTCGCCCGATCAAAGATCGGCCTCTACTAACCATGATATCTATTTTTGAAAACATTATGTGTTCTTATTCCGGTTATTAGCCTAGATTTACTATGTGATGCGCACAGCATACAAGTATAGACTGGGTCGCCTGAATTGGAACAAAATATTTCATGCTTGTTTATTTGAAAATAGTTTGATGGTGCTACCCGCAAGTAGGCTAAAATGTGGATTTGCCACCCTCAGGTGGGCTTAGAAAATATGATTTTGCCACTATCTAGTGGGCTTAAAACTCACAGTCGATGAATTGTTCCAATTCAAATAACCCAACCTTCACCCACATGCATTCAGGCAGTTATATCATGTAAGCACATAGCCTTATGGTAAGCATGCTGTCATGGCAGTCACTCACACGCATGCAAGCATGCTAAAGCATAAAACTTACCGAGTACTCCAAGCCAAAACAGAAGCTATGTTAGAAATCCATGCATGATCCTAACTATACAGAAATGCCTAATGCAAAACATGCAAAATGCAACTACAATAGGCTCAGCTATTCTAAAATGACATGTGGAATGCTACAACTAACAAGTATTCAACTCAGAATTGAAATACAAATGCAGTTAGTATGATGCGCCGAGCCCGGTGCATG